GGGCCAGACCAAGCCACAGAGGAAGGTGAGGGGCCCGCTCCTAATGGCAAAGCACTGGCGCTGCACAGGCTGCTCCGGGAAAGGACGGCCCGGCCAGGGGAAGTCATCAGCAGGCCAGAGAGCCCCGCTCCACGTGGCGAGAACAGGAGGTTTCGGAAGCATGCTTTCTGCCCTCACCCTGCACTTGTGATGCCCTCAGAGGGCGAAATCCCAGGGGCCAGGGATAGAGGGCTGGGCTCCGTCCCCAGGAAGAGACAGAAAGGATCAACATGCCAGTGTCTCCGAGGGAGAAACGGCCCAGGTTCCGAGTAAAGGCAGTCTCTTCTAATGCCCCGTGTGGACAGTGGGTAGAGGACCAGACACACAGGCGCAGGGTTCAGGAGGGACGGTGGCTGGGGGAGGGTGCAAGTCGGCTGTTCTCGTCCTCGTTCTGTAGACACTGACTCACATCCCACCCCAGTCCCAGCTTCCCGAGGGAGAGCACAGAGCATCGCGCTCAGCAGGGAGCAGGTCCCGGAAGGCACGTAGGGGAAAGGGCATCCAGACAGAGGGAGCTGCATGTGCAAAGGCCCTGCGGCAGAAAAGGCCCAAGGTCGGGGTTCTGAGAAGTCCTGGGTACATGCTAGGAGCAGGGGGCTGCCGCTCCCAGTGCTCTGCAGGCGTTCAGAGCCCTGCCAGGTGGCACAACGGTGGACACGTCACTCCAGGGGGCCTGCTGCAGGCAGGGCAGGGCTTCTCTGGACAGGCTCAGGTGGACCCTGTGCATGCAGGCCCTCACAGGGCAGCAGACACGCTGACAATCAAAATGCAGTTCGTCTTGTCTCAAAAGGGCTAGGGACATTTTATGAGGGGCTATCAACAAGTTCAAGGAAAATGGAACTTATTATTACCGACACTGTCCAGCTTGAATTCAAGCCAAATTCACTGCCACGGAGTCATTCTGGCTCATGGCGGCCCTACCGGACAGGGTAGGACAGCCCCTGTGGGTTTCTCAGACTGTGACTCTACACGGGAGTAGAAAGTCTCATCTTTCTTCTGTGGAGCAGCTGGTGGTTTCAAACTGCTGACCTTGCAGTGAGCAGCCCAACTTGTAAGCACTGTGCCTCCAGGGGTCCTCCCTGCACCACTGACTTCCCGGTACATGGGTGTCACCGGCACCTCACAGGGTGGGGAGAGGCGGCATCTCCACTGTGCCGAGCCGGCCCCCCTCTGTCAGTGGCATGTCTAAGACCACTGGCAGGTGAGAGACCGAGCAGAGGTCAGAACCACGCACGAACAAAAGGCCTGTGGTGACTGACAGACACACACAAGTTCCAGCCAAATCAAGTGAGTTAGTTAATTGTGCCAGCCTGGCCGATAATCACATGTGGTGCTGGTTGAAAGGTGGAGGGATAAATGGGTGGTGAAGCCTCGCCTTTCTAGTTCTTGGGTCTCTTGTTTTGTGATGGTTGCATCGGGTGCAGCTGCCTTAGCAGTTCCCTGCTTCAGCTTGCAAGATGGATTTCCTACAAGACATCCCCAAGGAGAAGCCGCATGGATCTATCCCGATGCAGCCCTGGGTGCTGGAGCAGCCATGTGGAGACCCCTGCCAGTGCTGAGATGCTTACACGTTCACTGACTCAGCTTTCCTCCTGCAGTCGGCATTATTGCCTCTGTTTTGTGAGGTGGAGGACTTTGTGGACTTGTGTTGGGTTAATGGGTTAATGTTGGACTTGTGGGCTTGGGCAGCATTGGGTTGGGATGTTTTCGTGATGCACATTTTCTTTGCATAAAACTCTCTCTTATACGTGAGTTGCTGTGGATTTGTTTTTCCAAAGTACCTAGACTAATACATCATGTCTGCACACCTTTTCTAGGGCCCTCACGCAGGCGGCGGTGGTAGTAAGCCGGGGTCCGGGGCGTCGTGTCCTCCAGGTTCAGGGGCCTCACCCAGAAGTTGGCAGGAGCAGGTGCTTTAGACCCTTAAAACCTCAGGGATTAAAGGCCATCATCGCCACCGAAGTGCTGCCTATCGTATTTGCCACACCAACTAAGCAGCATGTTGACCCGGCCTACAATTAGGCTGGGAAAAACAAAGTCCCCGAGCTGCAGAAGTTTTTCCAAAAATCTGCCCGTCCACCTGATGCAGGGCCTGCCTGACCAGAGGCGGTGTAGGACTAGCAGGGTGCGGACACTGGGTGGGACATCTACGGCCTCGTTGCCCTCTGTGGGGCTTCCTGGCCCCCGGAACAAATGAGCTCACTTCAGGACTGGGCGCTTTGGGCATGAATCCTTTGAAGTGTCCTTTCTTTCTCATTTTCAAAGCTTTGAGTGAACTACTTCACACGTTCATAAGAAAAAACGGGAACGTTATGAAAATACTCTAGGTGTGACCACGAAAGGCATCTGGCATGTCATTTCAACAACCATGCTGCTGTTCCAGTCTGGGCCCCGATTTTCCCGGAGGGGCCAGCTGCAGGTCATGCATGTTCCGGAGTATGGGGTGGGTGCGGAAGCCTTTCTAGATTTGGGTGTGACCCAGGAAGGCCGACGGGCCAAGCCCCAGTGCGTGGAATCGGGGTGGGATGTTCCCGTCATGTGGGACAATTAGTGGAGTTCTTCACAACTGCTCTGTTATGAGCTGTTTGTTTCAAACGGTTGTTTGCCTCATCTCAGATCTTATTGAAATTTCCTGTGTTATTGTTACGTATTCATCCCCCACAGGAATACCTGTTTAGTGTCCCACTTTAGACCCAGGTCTGTTTCATTCATGCAGCTGTGTTCCAAATTCTCCTTTAACTTTTGTTTTTTAATAATTAAATCATTTTACTGGGGGCTTGTACAACTCTTAACACAATCCACATATACATCCATTGTGTCAAGCACTTTTGTACATTTGTTGCCCTCCTCATTCTCAAAACATTTGCTTTCAAAAAAAACAAAAAACATTTGCTTTCTGCTTGAGGCCTTGGTATCAGCTCCTCATTCCCCCACCCCCATGAACCCTTGGTAATTTATAAATTATTATTATTTTGTCATATCTTACACTGTCCGATGTCTCCCTTCACCCAGTTCTCCACTGTCCGTCCCCCAGGGAGGAGGTTATATATAGATCCTTGTAATCTGTTTCCCTCTTCTTTAACTTTTAAAAATGGTTTGAAAAGGTAATTTATTTTGACTGTGGAATAAATACGTGGATGGGGAAAAAAAATCATCTCTACATTCAGTATGTGAAAATGCGATCTTTGAAAGTTTAGACATTCCCAGGAAAGTGGGTGTTTCCTTATGATACATACTGCTGACTAGGCCCCTCCTACAGGTAGGCCAGCCTGCCCTTTGGAAGAGGACAAGCACACTGGAGATAATGTTGAGCCCTGGCCAATCCTCCCGGCCCTTCTCACTTCCTTCCCTGCCGCCCTGGCCCTCACGCAGAGCCCACAGAGCATTCGGGAGACTCAAGCCTGGACCCCCAACACTATGCACACACAAACCACGGGGGAACCAATGCAGTAGCACATGCTGGTCCGCAGCCCACAGCAGAACTCCTCATTACAAAACTCTTCGATCCCCGCCCCCACCCTACGTTCTCAGTGATCACCAAAACCTTACCATGGGTGCTAGCAGGCCGGCCAGGGCTCCCTAGTTCCCGGGTAGGGAGGAAGGCCTTGCAGGGAGCAGCAGGGGCTCTGTGGGGAGCTGGGCGGCCTGCTACTGCCCCCTTCCCAAGGGACTCCCTGCTGGGTGAGATTTCATGACCTCAGAAGGAGAGCCCCAAGGCTGATGGCAGTCCGGTGGTTTGGGGACTCCCCACCTCTGGCAGACGGGGCGAGTGTTGGGGAACTCAGCTCTCAGACACAATGTCCCGTGTTGAGAGGGACCACTCCTGTGGGCGATGCCCACTG